GTTGAGAATCCAAACGAATAGTCTTAAATGGCCAAAGCTCTTCACATTACCATCATTCTCTTCCTCATTTCCTCCAATCTCCTCGCGTTTATCAACTCCGCTAGACTTCTCGATCAAATCCAACCACAGCCTCAGTTGGTCCCTACCGGCCAAATCCCCACCGTGGCTCCAACCGAAGCTGAGGAAGATGACGGAACCGACGATATCCCACCAATCACAACCACACCCGCAACATCAATTACAGTCCCGGCCGGTCCAGCAGGGGCTACAGCTGGTGGACATGAGCCATTACTAGAGTTCTTTATGCACGACGTGCTAGGCGGGTCACATCCATCGGCTCGTGTGGTCACCGGAATAGTAGCTCAAACCGAGGTGAACGGAATACCCTTCTCAAAAGCCAGCAACAGCATTTTCCCAGTTGACAATGGAGTCCCACTGGTCAACTCAAACAACATCAACAGTGTCATTAACCCAAACACAGCTCCACTTCTCACCGGACTCGGCGGCGCTCAAACCTCCACAGTGATACAAAACACTAACGGCAATTCCAATGATGCTCTTAGCTCCAACAGTCTTCCCTTTGTAACCGCTGGAAACCTCCCTCCTGGTGCTGCTCTCCAGCATCTTATGTTCGGAACCATAACTGTTGTAGACGATGAGCTAACCGAAAGCCACGAGCTTGGATCAGCCGTTATAGGGAGGGCTCAAGGCTTTTACTTGGCCAGTTCCTTGGACGGGACAAGCCAAACGCTTTCACTGACCGTACTGCTACATGGAGAGCACGATCATCATGACACTTTAGACGATGCCATTAGCTTCTTTGGGGTTCATCGGACCGCCTCTCATGCTTCTCAGATCGCGGTTATTGGCGGGACTGGGAAGTTCGAGCACGCCAAAGGGTATGCCATTGTGGAAACTCTGCATAACCAGCAGAATCAGCAAATCACTGATGGTCAAGACACCATCCTCCATTTTAGTGTATACCTCACCTACAAAGTTTGAAGAAACAAAAAAAAGAGAGCAAAACAAGAATTGATTGCTTTTGTATATGTTCTTGCTCACTAGCTTTGCCTGTGGCCTTTTTCTTGTGTTCTGCAAAATCTGTTGTTCAAAGAATATTTATTTAAATGAAACTGTTTCAATCAAAATCTTGTTTCATTCACACAAAAAACCTTTTGGAAACACTTTTGACAAATGGATACAAGTCACAGTAACCTTTCGAAGCAATGTGACTGACTTGCTAAGAGGCCAATCCTAGACCTGACAAAGAAACTAATTTTATGCACAACTTCCTCAAACGCTATAAATCTCCCTTTGATGATGCAAGCCAAATGCAACTACTACTCTCTCTATATTCTCAATCAAAATGCAGAGAATGCGATGTGAAACGAAAAACGAATAAAAAGAATCACTCTATACCCTATATGAAGCTGACAACCTCACCCAACAACTCATCCATTATCATACTTTCTAATTCACAAACCACCGACTCATCATCAGCTTCAAGTTCTAACCACTCATCAATGTCTATGACTGGCACTTTGGCCAATGATTCTTTCTTGGCTCGCTTCTCTTGCCTAGCAAGTACTTTCCAGAGTTCTTGTTTCAGTCCACATATGCTTAGCACGGTGCCAAGCCTCCTAGAAACGGGTTTCTTCCAAGTTGGTATAGTTGTAAAGGATTCTAGAATCTCTACCAGACCTGAATTGACTCTGTCAAACAAAATCCTTCTTTCAGACCTCTTCCAAGATGTCTCTGTGTAATACTTCTTCTCCAGTTTCTCGAAGATCTTGAGGGTGATGCCTAAACCCAGCGATTCGCGTTTGTCAGGAACCCAGTTCTTGTCCCCAAGTACAACTTCAGCCAAAATATCATCAATGTAAGAAGAATCCTTACTTTGTTGGGTATCCAAGAGCCCAATTGGTTCACTTTCCTTGCTTTCTTTGGTTTCGGAATCAAGCACAGACTCCTCATCGCTAGATACTTCCATACCACTCCCATATGAATAATAACTCTCTGTATCAGATTTMAGGGTTTCAAGCTGTTTCTCTAGACCTGGTAAGATTTGTAAGAAAAAGAAAAAGGTTTATTACAGTTTATCAAATCCCAGCAACACAAATATTAACAGCAACTAACTTGTTCCTTACCATGAAAGTCGAGATGAGGAAGTTCTTCACTGTCGTCTAACATATCTTCGTAAAACACTGGCTCCAGAACAGAAACAGGGCTAGGTTGATGAGTCTCTTCCGTGTTCGTCTGACATACAGGAGATGCATTGGAAGAATCTAATGAATCATCATTTTCACCCTGCACATTCATTGGAAGATCAACATAAGTTCAAAGAGTTCAGGAATATGCATCACATTTTGTTATAAGCAATGTGACTGTTCAGTTTTGCATTAGTTTCTACAGAACCTCACACTGTTATGATGTCACCAAATTTGGGATTATATCACACAAAAGTCACAAAGGGCTCTCAGAAAATCAGTAGCATTTCACAAATATTCAACAATCATCACACAGAAATAGTTGTAATGAGATCACTGAAGTTACCTTGCTAATGAAATCTGAAGAAGATATAAGCCTGAACTTCGATTCTGCTGCAACTCTGTCGTTGCAAACTCGCTCCAAACTCAACACCAAGTCCCTAGATGTACTAACCATCAATTTGGAACCAACTTCCCTCACAACTCTATCTTTCTTCTGACCGAATGTAGTACCATCGCAAACTTTGTTCATTTCCTTTGGTTTCTTCTCAAGGGAAATGAATTGCCCGTTCTTCCGATCTCTCAAATGAGAATTACGACCAAAACCAAGAGGCGAAAAACACCTCAGAGAATTCTCTTTCTTCCCAATTTTTGGTTTCAACGGATCAACACTTGTATAATGTATCAGCTTCGACTTCGACTTTTCCTGATCATATCTCCTACCAAATTTCCTTTGGTTTGCCATCTCCCTATACATCTTCAATCCAACCGATTTCGAACTCTTTCCCCGATCATGAGGAGACGTAGATTGTGCATCGATTATACCCTTGGAGGCCAACAAATCAGGTTTCTGGAGATAAACACGACAAAGTTCCTTCGTTGGACTCACTGTGAAACTGAAACCAGAATCGGGTTTTGGTTTGTTCTGTTTCTCAATAACTCTCAGCTTTTCTTGATCAAGAGGTCGAAACAATCCATTAAAACCCATCGATCTAGCAATCACAGAGAATCTAATTTGCTTAGACTCCATTTCTTATGACCTCTCACACCAGAAAGCTTACGAAATGGCAAGAATCAACATAAAAACAAAAAAAAACCCAGATTACAAAACGAAGTAATCTGCACATACACACAAACAAAGAAGAAGACGATTGCTATATTGAAAAATTCGAAATCCGTAGAGAGAAACACTAATCAGAGAAGAAACAAATCAAATCCAGAAATCGGAAAAGCAATCTAACCTTTTTTAAGTAAAGATCTTCAAAGATTCACAGATTCCATTCGCGAGAAAAATAACCTTTTTGGGAGAAAATTTATAGGATCATTAGATTGAAAGAAGAAAAAAAAAATCAAGAGCGGAAAGTTTTGAAATTAGGTCAACAAAAAGAAGAGAGATGATTGAAGAGAAAGCTTTACCTGAGAGTCACAATCACTTCAATTTTTCTTCAAGAGCGAAAAAAAGTAATTATAAATGGACGTCAAAGATGGTCAGTTATACGAAATCTTATGGCAATTTAATAATTAGTGTATTTAAAATTAATAACAACAGTCCAATGATACATACATGCAAGAAAGCGACGTACCTCGCTACTATTTTTTATTCCCCGTCAAATTTCAAAGTTTAAACGATAACAATCTCTTCAAATTTAATGCAAATACACAATAATTTTTATTTTATATTACTGGTAACTTAATGATGGAACAACAAATTTAATTTTGTTTTTTTGTCATCTGAATATTGATATTTTAGGAAACGTGTTTCCAAATTAAATTTTGTTAGGAAACACGTTTCCATGAAATTTTCAAGAGTTTCGGTTTCCAAAACGTTTCCGAAATGGGAAACGCTTCTCGGACGAAGTTTCCATGTAACCTTGTGCATTACAATCATAAAATTGAATAAGAGAACCCAAAAAGTTAAAAACAAAATAGAAGACAAAATATGCATGGAAACAAAAAAAAACTAAAATAGACATACTTTTCACAAGATCTTTGGTTCAATGTCACTTCATATATGATCACTTTTCACCATGTGATACTGCAACCAAGTCTTCAACTTTCACTGGCTTATGCAGCTACAATGAAACCAATGTTCTCAAGCAAGTTAGGAACCAACAAAATAAAGACGGCAACTTATGAACCAGACAACCAGAGATTGATGGAACTGGAATACTCACCGCTTCTGCAATGCTAAACCAATGAAAAGACCGCAAGAAAGTATCATCTTTTGAAGGAAGATTATCGTGATTCCAGTATGTCATTTTGTCGAATTTTGCCTTCGCTTCCCAACACGGGTTCTCTTCTGTGGAACTACAAGCTTTTCTCTTTCCATTAGCATTTTGGTTACTCGCCTGTCCAAGCACAAAACCTGAGAGGGTAACATATGAGAACAGGAGAATCGCCAATGAAACGAAAACTATCCAAAACATAATTTCTCAGTACTCAAAAACAATCCCCATCAAAGGTATATCAATCACTAAGGATAATCTTATAAAGCATACATCATACTCAGATTCATCAACATATCTTTGAGAATTTCTCAAAAATACGATCTCCATATACAAGATTTTGTTTGTTAATCCTAACATCGCTAAGAATTACGGACAAGAAATTCAAAAGCTTTCATATTTTCATCATCAAGAAAAAAGAGAAGAAAGTACCAGAATAGCCACTAGGTAGTGAGATAGTTGCTCCCTGCAACCTCCTTCCTCTGAAATGAGCTTCTTCCATTCTTACTCCATCGATCTCCACCTCTACGGTTAAACAACTTTCCACATTAATCTCGCTATATAAAAAACACACAACCGAAAACAGAATTACAACATACATAATAGTTTTCTCGTACCAGTAGATTTAGGCTTGAAATAGTGAGAAACTTCAGCAGAACCATCGAATCTAATGCAGCAAGGGACCTGGTGGACTTGACCGCTGAGATCCGCAATCGAGTTTTCATCTGAAGCAGCCCTAAAGTCTATGGTTCCCATCAAAGCCAACTTGGATCAATCCTTCAAGTTTCTGTACATACACAATTTGCCAAATTGGTTAAAGCTTTGAAGAAGAAGAAAATGGTGACTTCACCTTGTAAAGAGATTATGATACCATACAATGATAAGAAGAGTCTAAACAGTTTACAGGTAATCAAGAAACAATGGTGAAACCCCCAAAACCCATTAAACAACAGTCATGACTCATGAGCAATCGTATGATAACTAAAACAGAGGATAAAAACCGAAGAGAAACCGTAATCGACTCGAATTTGCTACTGTGTTCTTTGTAGAGTATATCAAAAGGACCATAAAGTATCAATTTTGAATCTTTGATACATCTCAAAAACCAAAATGAAGAACCCAGGAGCGACAGATAAAAGCCCAGATTTCGAGTTCTAGTTCGACAAAACCCGAAAACTGGAGAACTATATAAATGCCCACGAGATTTAAACCCTATCACTGTGAACAGCAGAGAAGATGAAGATACTGAAAACAGAAATCACCCAATGCCCAAATCTTACATTAAGAATCGAGCAAAATCGCAATGGGAATAGTCTAGTTAACACGGAGAAGCTAAAAAGACTGAGAATTTGGTGATGGTTTCCACTTAATTAAACTTAGGGTACCTACACGCACAGAAAATTAGGGCTTTATGCAGATTTCGTCGTTTTATTGTTATGGTAAAGTAAACATAAAAAAGTGTGTTTTTTAACAAAAACCAAGAAGAGAAGCTCCTGGTTCTAGTAAAGCAGGTTAATTTCCTCAAGCCGGGACAAAAACAGGTTAATTTAATCCAGTTTTTTGGTTCGAACTTGGAACCTTCCAAATTCAAACTTCATTGTCTCTTGATGAGTTCCAGATGGAGAAGTTATTGTGTTATTGAGATAACATATTATTTTACTTGTAATGAGATGGAGAAAGATAATGCAAAACTAAAAAGGATCCATTACTAGAGCATTCATCAATGAAACTCATACTTTTCTAATGTTTTCCAATGACAATTTGTCACTAAGTCACTGAAGCCTGAATCCATTACTTCAAGATTGGTTCACCTCTAGAGAGAGAATTCGAACAAATTTATCACTTGGCATCATCACTTGAATTAAACATAAGATCATTGATTCTTGTTATATCAATGTCAGAGATTGGATCTATAGGTCTGTCTTCACCTTCCTCCATCCTGGGATCAAATTCCCCCGGTTCTCGACTGTACTCATCTGCCATATCAAACAACAAAAATTAGAATATCATCATCGCAAGCAAACTCTCAAAACCAAGCCCTGAACATAACAACATTGAAAACATTTCTAGCTCGTTTTTGCATTGGTGCAGTGATCTCTATATCAAAATAACTGACTATGAACTGTGCAAGTCTCAGGAGAGCGGTGCGGGTGCTCACCAAACAAGGTATTGAGAGAGGTTGGGGGAGGAGTGGCAATGAAGTTGAGGCCAATGTAAAACACCAATCCTAACAGCAAAGTCACCATCAAATACGTCGGCATAGCCAATACCCAATACCTACTTGGGTAGTAATGGATCCCTATTGACTCCAACAATTTATCAGGTACGTATGCCCATATCAAGAAGATCACTGTGGCAACAACAGTCGATATGGAACCTACAAAACCATACACCTCAGATGGTTTGGGTCCATGCACTTCTGAAGCTCTAAAAGGAGATGACCTTATGCTGTCTGAATCCTGGAAACCGGGCTTTTGCTTATTTCTCTTCGAGAAGCTTAAAACTCGTCTTGGACTATTCACTGAATGTGCTTCTTCCATGTTCTTTGGCCAAAGGAAGAGACTGAGTAATCACTGCAAAACCACTGAGAATTGAAAGAAAGACAATCAATCCTTGGCTTTTATCTCCTTTTCTACTATAACTAGATACTATCAATTTGGAAGCTCGTAAATAGATTATGCAAAAATCAAGACAGATCAGCTTGAGGGACTACACATAGACGAAGAACTTAGACCAGGCGCATTGCAGAGATTTGGGAGCATAAATCAGAATTGAGAAAGCCCTTGGTTTCATAATATCTATGCTGCATGTTAACTCTAATAAACAATGGTCGGTATAGAAATGATTGTCAAGTCTTTCATGGATTCGATTCATGTATGATAAACAATCACAAGAGCCTAGTAACGTCAGTAATAGAATGAAATGAAATTCAAGAGCAATCCCAAACAAACAAAAGCAATTTTGTATAAAAGTCATAAAATGAACGAAAAACAGATAGATCCAATGAAAAATGAAACATACAAAGCCAATCCAACAGACTGTAAGCAGTCAAATCTCACTCAAAGTGATAACCCAGAAACTGAAAACAGAGGAGTTGCTCCAACCAAAAACCAATCTTCAAAAGATGATTCCCATATACTACAATCAAGCATATCTCAAAACATCACACCGATAAAATTCCAACCACTGACCCGTTATTTCACAAAATACCCAATCAATTGAAATCCATCCATAACAACCTGTAATGGCAAATAGCAGAGCAATTGACCGAAACAAACTTACACGACTGTACCCTCGACCAAAAAGGATCTACCTTTCTCGATATGAAGCTCCGTATCTCAAAGTTGGGTGGCGAGTACGTACGCATACGTAGCCAATTTCGTCGAAACTCACCACAACAAGAAAGAGTAACCCACCCAAACCCTAAAAGGACGTTTTTTTTTAAGATTCGTCATAATATTCTTCTTTATTGATTGTTTCGAAACAAAATTGAAAAAGGTTTAGGAACTAGGGATTAATTGGGGGATGGGGAGGCCCGCACGAGTGAGTTCTGCGAAAGTAAGCAGCGTCAACACTCGGCCAGCCTATTTCCCTTCCATAAATTCTTGCGCCACTTTCTATGTTTTTCGTTTAGCGCTGCGACCGGCTCTCACCGCTCGCTTTGTTTTCCTTACTCATTAGTTTAAGGCAATTTTTCTCTCATGCCCAACAATGAACCTTTATACTACCCCTCAACAAGACCCAAAAGCCTCAGCTTCTCGATGTGGGACAAACAAACAAAAAGTAGAGGATTATAAATCAAACCGAATTGATTTCGGTTCGGTTAGAGTCAAACCGAAAAAAATTGAAATGATTTCGGTTTTGAGTGAATACTTTTTATTCATCGAGAGTCGGAGTTAAATCAAATACGCACAACAAAACTAAGAGATTTACATTTTATCTCTCACACTTGTCTACTAAACAACATGGTGAAGAAGATTTAGAGACGTTGAGAGAAGAAGATGAACAGCTAACAGTGGGATCTAGCGTGTTCGGGTTTGTGAGTGTACTCATAATCGAGATGCACAAAAGCTCTTTCGATCTCTTCAAGCAGCTCTAGCTTCTCTTGTAGCGATTCTCCTATGTCGTGAGCTACTCGCAGAGGCATATCAGAAGGAAGAACAATATCAACCTCCACAAAATAATGAGAGCCAAATGTGTAAGCCCTCACTGTGTCAATGTGTCTAATGGCTTTATGGTGGTTCCAACATAGGTAAGTTAGTTTCTGCAGATACTCTGGTGTTGCTGATTTCCCTACAAGTGAGTTCACGTTCTCTAGTACCGTCATTGACCATGTCCGTATCGTGTACAAAGCAAGCTACATGAATTCAAAGACGATTTTCAGAAAGAAGAAGGATAAAAGACATGCTTTTTGTTTTAAAGTTGGAAACTTACAATGATAGCTCCAACTGGATCCATCCAATTATCAATGTAATTAGCGAGGATTACTGCAATGAGTCCGATGATGTTTGTGATGACGTCGAAGAAGTGATCTTGTGCATAAGCCTTAACAATCTCGTTACTGAAGGATCTGCAGTAAAGGCACAGGAGCAGTTTGACCAATGTAACAGAGAGCATGATCCCAACCACCCAACTCTCTTCCTCTTTTGTTAGGCTGAACTCCTTGTGCTGTATAAAACAGGAGAAGCAATTGTTTGAGTAATGTAAAATTTTTGAAGCTCTATACCAAAGCTATGTGGATAAAGTTTCAGACAAGGTCTACATACACTGGATACCATCGTTCGAAGAGATTCCAGTATGATCTGCAATCCAAGTGTCGCCATCACTGATGCAAAGACTAGGATTCCCTGAGAGGATTTGATTCAAGAATCACATATTGAAAATATGAATGCTTTGTAGGATTGTCGTAGTTCAAAGGAGATGCACCAATAAAGCAATTAACACGGAAAAATGTTATCGCAGAGTTAAAAACTGTAAAGTTGACTTGGGTTTGCAACTCGAAACATTATCTCTTATATACAGGAAACTTTTTTTCTCATTTAGTGATGCGATTGCAAACTCAAATACTGTATGATCCCGACTAAATTTTAAAGAGATACAAACATAAAAAAGAGAAAGACTAGATGAATCTTTTGTAAAAGTTTGGCAAGCTTGCTTTTCTATATCATCAACTAAAATGAACATATATACATAAGAGAAGACATATGTATGTATAATCTTTAAAAGGAAGATACAAACCAGTGGTTGCATCCTTTTCTTCCCAATGGGATACTGATACGGGTTCGGTGTCTGCATCGAGAAGGCGGTAAACCACAGGATGAAGCCAGAAAGAAGATCAAGAAGAGAGTCCAATGTGGACGCAATGATTGCTAAAGAGCCGCTTCTGGCGGAAGCATATACTTTGACAACAAAAAGAACCATGTTTGCAATGTTTGATATTCTAATCGCCAATGTCTCGCTTTTAGCCAATTTTTCCTGATCTTCCTATGTCCACAACACAGAGATATCCAGACAAGTATCAGTTAACAAGAACAAATGGATCATAGTTTTCAACAAATGTGGAAGAAGAGACATAGTTAGCATCATCTAAGCTAACCTTTGACATTCCAGGGACAAAACCACGTTCGGCAAGTTCATCCATTTCAGTAAAACCCTCAAGCATCACTACCTGCTGCTGGTAATAATCTGCCACATTGTCTTCTGGACCTGAAACAAACCAAGACACATAGCTTCACCAATCAAATTTAATCTTTTGCGCAGGACCGTAAACTAAGCAAAGAAAGTTCAAACCCGGTAAAAGCTACAGTTGCTTCTCACTATTTTAGTAAGATCACAATTATCAATAGAACCAAAACAAGAAACCCTTTTTGAGCTAAGCCGTTTGATATGTCAATTGTCAACAATACTGTAACTTCTTCAATCAGGCCATATTTCAATTTAAGCTCAAGATCAGGATTACTAGTAACTCGTGAAAATTCCATGTAATTTGTCAAGAAGTCGCCAAACATTTGAGCTGAATTCATCGAATCTTCAGTTTCATACAGACTTATCACTACCACGATTCCATTAAATCTCAATTTCATAAAAAGGAAAGATCTTTAGAAAAAGGTAACTCATTGACTTGCCGAGTCCTAATCAGTCTACTCTAGAGATGAAACTGAAGAAACAAATGTCGAGAGGAGAAGCAAAATTTACCCAAACAACCAAGACAATTATGGAGTTTGCTCGGCGATTTCTTCTCCTTGTGCTCCGGAGAAACCTGGAAATCGTCGAAGTTTAGCTGCCATGACCGGTCACCGTTACCGTGATACTCGAGCAGCGAGATTCCTTCGTCGTCATCAGGACTAGCGGGACCGACCATTTCTTCGGCGAGAGATAGATTCGCGGAGCGAGAGATTTGGAAGCAGAAGAAGCAGGTTTTTTTGTCATGAACGGTGAGGGTATGAAATGGGAAATTTGAAGAGAAGACGAGGGTAAAATCGGGAATTTAAATATAAGACTGGTGCGGTCGATAAACAAGTAAACCACTGAGATCCTTGGACCAGGAAGAGAGGGACGTCTTCAGACTTTGAGAAATGTCTACGTGGCGAATTCTCAATGGATGAAGTATCTCGCACGTGATTGTTGAGTCATCATGGACACGTGTATAGCTGAGATTGAATTTGCGGTTAAATGCCCGTGACAAGGTAACGTGTAGTAGACTAGTGGTTGATGGATATTTTATGGGTTTTATGATTTTATCGGTAACGTGAAGTTGTACCGAAAACGATACTATGGTCTATTTGTTACCAGGGGCGGACTTACGTGTTACAAGGTGGCCACTATTTTTAAAATTTCAATATAGTTTGTTGAGAAAATTACGAGGAATATCTTAATTCCTCTAAAATCTTTCCCACAGCCATAATCCGAAATTCTTTTCGAAGAATGCTATAAAATACTATTTATCTGATCTAGAAAGACATTTTTACCTTTAAACTATTTTTTTTTCTTTCTCCTTCTTTCTCTTTTCAACACAAA